GCTGATGAGAATTGATGTCCCGTTGATGTGTCCTTTTGTTTTGTCGCAGCACACTCCCCTAAGAGGGCTCATTAATGAACAAGCAGCCAAGACAAGCCCGGCTACTGTAATTCATCATGGCACGTGTGACCTCTCCTCACTGCCACTGGCTGTTCTCCTCGTGCCCTTCTTCTTCATCCTCTATAGATGCACAGGAATGTGCTAGATATTTAAAGCCTGTAGCTCTATTTATTCAGGATTAAAATATCAGAGGATTAACATTTTCAATTGCATTGAATGTTTTTACATTTCTTTTTACTTTAGTGTGTGAGCTGTTTGTCTCCCTATGTGCCTCCCTAAGCTTGTACTGATAACAGGGTTGTGTTTTATCTCTTATTTGTTATACTTTTCCCCTTCTTGACATGACACAAATCATTAATTCTGCTACTACAATTTCCATACATCCCACATGACTCATGGCTACAAGCAAAAAGGCCATCGCAATATGACCTCAATACATGTCATGAGAGACTTGTGTCATAAAAAGGGCATTTGTCTGTTGACCACTGACTTTACTGCAGACACATACTGTATATCTCAGAGTAGCATCATGCCACTGTCCTGTATGTTCTTTTAAGCATCGCTCCGTTTAAGTATCACTTTTATTTAATCCTCAATGTTCTTGCTCAATTCTCATAATTATTTTACAAATGTTCATAATGACCACAAAATTGAAAAAACTTATTCTACCTCTTACTTGTAGTGGTGTTTATCAACCCAAATGCGGCGGCGTGCGTTGAAGCTTGCCGGTTGGCGTGTCTGAAACTCGACCAACAACCAATCACATGAATCTCCCGCCCCGGACACACAAGCACGCAGTTTGATGGGCTAGAGCTTGTACTGGCATATGATTTGATTGGCTGATGCTTCATGCTTCCATCAAAGCTTCAAAAGTAGAACATTGCTCTACTTTTGAAGAGAGCAACACGAGCAAAGCGAAGCGACGGAACCACAATGCAGTTCGGCAAAGCGTGACGTCACCCCATTCAAAGTGAATGGGCAGAAGCGTTGAAGCTTCAACGCACGTCGCCGTGTGGACGGGCTGTCAGAGTCGTTGGCCTTCTCTGGATATAATGGAAGAAGATGGTTCTTGACTTCCTGTTCTCAAAGCGCCAACAAAAATGAATTTGCAAATGTAACAGCAATGTCTCTTACACTGAAACAATCAAGACTAGTAAATCGCATTATAGGTACAAATAAAAATATGTTATTTTAATTGGTTACAGTTTTTCTCAATCGCTAAACCCACTATTTAGAATCAAAATTCCTTTCATCAAACCAACAGCACAGCCATCGAAACAGAAAACCATTTCTCTACAACAGTATACTATTTATCATTGATATCGCACAAAATGCAGATGCTAAGCAGTGTTTGCAAAACAGATCACACAACTCTCTAACTGAAGTTACAATTCTCTACACAAACATCAAAAATCTTTTGTGTAACTCATGTCTACAGAACAAAATNTAGCATTTTTCGCTCGGGGCTAATTCAGATGGTCAGTGTTAGCATTTAGAGTTTTAAAAAAATAAAAAAAGGAAAAAGATCAGTTAAATTAGTTTTTTCCGTTATATGTATATAAAACATTCATAGTTTATTAAATATGAAGGTTCTTTAGACGTTGTTTCCTTCAAATGACCCGATTTCGTCCCCGGATACGGGTCCGTGGGGCTTAAGAGACTATCTGCCAAGAATATTTGTTATTGTCTTTTCTTACTTTTAGTTTTTGAAACAATGAATGAATGAGAACTTATAAAAATGTCTCCAGGTCGATAAAATGTCAGAAAATAGTGTCCATCTTTAAAAAGCAAAGCATGTAAAAGGTTGCAAATCAGAAGCCTGTTTAGCAACCTGAATTGTTTTCTAAGATGTGTTTCAAGATGTTGTGTGGGTGGATCTGTATCGATTTATAATTCAAATCCAATTGTTACCAGCTAATAACACACACAAACATGTTTGCAAAGTAAGTTGTACGTTGGAGAATTTAGTTTGATAACCTGTGCATAATCTTTCAGGTCTACGACGTCGAGAGGCACCTGCTGAGAAGTTTGACTTGACCCAAAGAGTAGAGACTTAAGATTGGGTTGATCAGGGGCCAGGATCGTCATTCTTAATCTGAATGATAGATAATCTAGATCGCAGAAAAGATTATGGGTCCCGCATTTAGCGAGGGTGGGAGTTAATAAACAGAGATCAGATTGGGACGTCAAACATCATTGATACATTACTTGGCACCTGTTGATGCAAGCCTTAACCTCGATAACAATGTTGAATTCATCATGAAACTGCACCAGAAACACTTACAGTCGAGTAGATAGAGAATGCCAAGATATTGAGTTACATTATTTGTTTGCTTGAATACACTATCACCTCCTGCCAGCTGTAATTGCTTTGTCCTCGGGCACACATGTGAGATCTTGACAGCTCAAACCTGGCAACCTTGTCGCTCCAACAACAGCATTTAATGAAGCAGACACACAGTACCAGAATGTGTGTGTGTGTGTGTGTGTGTGTGTGTGTGTGTGTGTGTGTGTGTGTGTGTGTGTGTGTGTGTGTGTGTGTGTGTGTGTGTGTGTGTGTGTGTGTGTGTGTGTGTGTTGGCACTTAGCAATTCTCATGTACATGCAGGATGTAGGGAAATGTGTAAGGTCCATTGTCATGCGGATTTGGAATTTTTTTGCACATTTTACTGTTGCATTATATGTGAAAACTGTGGCTCTTTAATAGAGATACAACATATAGCCAGACAGGGAAAGAGAGCGATAATGATGTATAGGAATAAGTGTGCAGGGAGTGCACAGTTGAGGGGAAGTGACAAAAAGAAAAATGGTGTCAAAATTGCGCATGAGAGGGAGACAAACTCCTTGCAATCTCTCATAGGCCCCGGAAAACTGTGGCAAGCCATTATGACCGTCATCATCACCACCACCGTCCTCGTGGTGGCTATAATCATTCTCGTTTTTTCTCCTCAGTTAGTTTGCCTGCCACCTTCAGAAATATCACTTGCAGCGTCTAGAGGAAGCTGTTGTCTCTATCGGCCTCATTTGAATAAAATTCTCAGAGCAAAAAAAACGCTGAACTGTCTCACCTTCCAAAACAGATACATCATATTTTCACACAAGGCAATAAAAGCGATGCAGGCCCAATTCCCCACAGTTTTGAAGACAGGGGCTGTATTTCAGCTAGACTCATCACTATGCAAAACATCAGAGCACTGCTTGCCACAAGAATATTCCCTCCACTGCACACTCTGAAAATGTGCATAAACATCATCAGATTCAATGTTTTTTTTCTTTTAAAAAACAAGCTTCCACTGGAAATTAGAAGTATGCAAATGTAGTGGAAATAATCACATTTTGATGTAAAGCACTTGGTTTCAAAGCTCTAAATGTGATTTGAATACTCCACAGACAATTGTAAAAAAACAAAGAGGCACAGAAAAAAAAGACCCCAGGGCAGAAATCAAAGCGCTACCTTTTATTTAGGAAGAAGTGAACAAACTCCAAGCACCGGATTACATTTCAAAGCACAGAGCCTAGAGCTTTCCAGTTGAAGAGCATGCAGTGTGGGAGAAGGTGGTGCAGCGTGGGAGAGAGGCGTAATCACTATGACCTACAGTAGGATAGATGTAGGTTAAGTTAGTCCCTCTATGTGCCTGCAGTCCTCACTCGGCCTTTCTCTTCTTCAAGTCTTTCCCCTGGGCTGTCTTTCCTGGGTTTTTAAATCCCTGCTCCTTTAATCTCCTTACTCAGCTACATCCTCTTTAAAGATGCAGAACCACAGGAGAGACGTGGTATACGTCACAGGGAACTGGTGCTGGGCGAGGTAGGGCAGGACGAGAGGAGCGGGGGTGTTTGATATAGGGTTAGTGTGAGAAGTTGATCTGGTACCGAGAAATATCGTGTTTGACTAATTGTGTTTGAGTTCAAAGCGCACACCTTAACCTCCGGAGAACTTGTGTCTAATTGAGGATTAAATCAAGTAATTGAATTTGGCTAACGGACTTCCTGATGTTTTTCTTCAGCTGTGTCCATTATAAATCCCAATGCTAATGATCACTGCAACATCTGATCTCTTGAACCTTAAATCTGGCTATCATGCTTAGTAGTTGGCTTCCCATGCATGTTAACAGTGATAATATAATTGAATGGATCCCACTGTGAGTCAGTTGACTCATAGACAGTCTCATACAGCAGTGCAGAACACACATGTGCAAAGAATAGAAATACAGTAACTGCCCATGAGTCTACACATACACATAATGTACATGCATTTCTAACACACAAACACACACAACCCCCCGCTAATTCAACGCTGATATCAATACCATCAAAAACAATTCCACTCTGCTTCCTTCACCAGGGTCTGTTGTGCAGCAATGCCTATCAATCATCTGCTTGCTGAAACACACAGCGGAAACGTTTCAATAATGGTGCATCACCTGAGACTCAAGGAGATGAGAGTAATCCATTCAAAAATTGATCACGGTTGTCCTGTGTGCTACATGCGATTCAGAATGAGCAGACGTATCTACTGTTGACTTTCTGGGTCATCTTTCATGTGTATGTATCTTTGAAGTTCAGCAGCGTAGACATATACCTCAAATCACACATTTATGAGACAACCGAAGTGTGTCATCTGGAAACATAGTAGACCTGTGCAAGTTAATTGAGCATGAAAATGTGTCTGTTTGTGTACTCGATCAAATACTTTTTTTATGTCAGTACGGAAGGATGCACTGATTTTTAAGGTTACCTAAAATCTAAAAGTTATCCCATCATTCAGTGAATATGTGTTCACAGATAATGAACTGACACACATGATCAGATCTCGGGATCAGAGCGTGGGAGGTCGCATTAGCACCAACAGCACACACTAATTTGCCATCTACCAACCGTTGTAAACATGCCATATCAAACAAGGGATCCAATTTAATCTGTAATTAGTGCCTTAGCAGTACCTGTTTCCCAGAAGTAGACAGACTTCTCATCGTCTGTCTGAGCGTGAGCCTCCCAGAAACCACAGAGCAGCAGCAATGTCACCAAAAGGTACCAGCTCCCCTCTGTCCTTATTCTGAGGGTCCCTGCTGCACCCCTCCACCCTAGCCCCATGGTCCGCCACAGGATAAAAGTAAATCCACTCAGCTCAGAAGGTCAGTGACGGCAGTGTAGAAAAAAACAAAAAATAAAAAACACACTAGTCCAAAAAGGCAACTAGAAGTGAAGAGTGCTTGTTTGAGAGAGTGAGGGTGTGAGTAAGAGTGTGAGTGTTAGAGAAAGGAGTGTGTGTGTGTGTGTGTGTGTGTGTGTGTGTGTGTGTGTGTGTGTGTGTGTGTGTGTGTGTGTGTGTGTGTGTGTGGGGTGTGTGTATTCAGTCCTGCACGAGTTGAGGTCCGGTACTTGGTCTTGTGAAGGACAGAGAGAGTAGTTTTCTCCTCTCTTTTTGTTTTGCTCCTAACTTGGCAGGAAGGTCCCAGAGAGGCTGTCAGTGAGCGAGCTGCAGATGGACGCCTCGGTCTCCCTCCTCCATCGTATCCGCTCCCACTGTTGCCGTGGCTGCCTCTGTCCTCTGGCTGTGGAGCAGTGACAGTGGGCGAGTGTCTGCAGTGTTGTTCGCCTCCCTCCCTCTCGCTTGCTCCCGCTCACTCTCTCACTTCGTCTCCTATTCGCTCCCTCATTTGCTCTTCTCCCCGTGCCACCCTGCTCTCCTTCTCTTTTTTCTACTCAGTTCCCTCAGCTTTTTTTTATGTTTTTCCTCATCTTATCTTCTCTCCCTCTCTCATTTTCCCTTTTTTTTATCACACTCCCTGCATCTCTGACATGCTCCTTCTCACTTTCTCTTCCTTTCCTCTCCCGTTTTTGCTTTCTCCCGCCTAGGGAAACTCCCCCTCCCCTCCTGCTTCTCCACTCGTCCTCCACTCGCAAGGCTGGGAAGGCGGCTGGAGACCAGCAGTGCTCACACTGGTCTCAGAAGCTCCCATAAGCACTGCTTCCAGGATCAGAGACAAGCAAGGCTTAATGCAGAGCAGGGGGAAGGGAAGGGGTTGATGGGGGAGGCAAGGAGGAGCAAAACACTAAAGCAGAGCGCAAGAAAGAGATGAGGGAGGGAGGGAGGGAGGGGGGTTATGCTTGTGAAAAAGGGTGTGAAAGTGAAATGATGGAATGGAAGCAGTGACAATGAGGACATACAGTAACAGCCTAATAATGTGATATGAGTATTTATAAACACAAGCCAACTTGTTGTAAGTGTGTTAATGGAATTTAAAAGACAAAATTTGAAATATCAACAACGTATTAGGAGTAGGATTATAAACATTTAAGCGTGTTGTATAGACTTTTGTTTGCACATACACACAATGTTACATATCAACACACAGAAGTTGGAATGTAGTGTGTGTACGGCTGATTTAATGAGACACAGATAAGTGCTGATAAACAGTATATGACTACATCTTTGATCCAAAATCAAAATGTAACACTCCAAACTTTAGGATGCTGACATTCCCCTTATTTTAGCAGCAATCGTTGATCCACAGTCTTAACATAGTGGTGAATATTTAAATGGATCTCATAGTTTACTACTTTAAAGAAAGTTAGAAAAGCCAAACTTGATAATTAAATGATAAGGCTGATATAACAATTTCAAGCATGAACAAATCCTGCAATTGTTAGGGACTATTTTCGACTGTGTATAAAAAGAGTTGATGTGCTACAAGAGTGTATACACTTAGCTAAAATGCTCCTTCCGAATATCCCCATGCTGTCTCAGCTATGCTACCTGACAGGCTAAGGTCACGTCACAACGTCTGACTGACAGGCTTAAAGTCTGGCAGTCTTACCTGTTTCTTTACTTGGCCAAAATCCTGATTAGCAGATTTACACAACAATCAAGAGAGAAGTAATTATTGGTAAAGACAACAACAACAAAAAATTAATAATAATAATTAATTCAAAAGCCAATGTCTTTGAAGCTATAGTTTCTCTAACAGCAGCTAAATGCTGACTTTAATGAACAAAATAATCTGTGCTAATCTGAGTGACTGTCTAAACCAAAACGACTGCCTTGTATTGTCTATTTCTGTTTGTGGATCTTCAAGCAACAACAGAACGTCTAATTGTTTAAGCATATATGAGGGCAGGCAAAAGAAAGGATATCATACTCAGCATCAATTCCATATAAAAACATGTCAATGTTACTTTAGAAACTAATAGTAACATTAATATCATTCGGCAAAAGGCAACTATGCACAATCAATATCAATAAATCATTATCAGGTAACTGCTCAGAGTACAGAGGCTACAAAAACAGAAAGTATTATGCTTTATGTAACAGATTGCTTTTCCCAACACTGCACTGATGAACATAATAGTGTTGGATATTCATAATTGACTTGAAATAGATTTTCTTGGAAAGTAAATGCGAGAAGGCACTGACTAAAATGCCCAGCTCTGCTTTTTGCAAGATGTGATTTTGTGTTGCCTTCATTGAGCTGTGACCTTTTACCCTTAGCTGGAGAATGGTGGATTGCTGCTTTTGCTTTGATTCGGAGTGAGTTACTTCACAAGAGAAGTAGTTCAAGTATCTCAGGGTCTTGTTCACAAGTGTAAGATGCAGCGTGATATTGACAGACTGATTGGTGCAGAATCTACCGTGAAGTGAAAATGATGCAGCCGTGGAACAGGAATGTCACGGTAAAGGAAGAGGCAGTGGGAATAAGTAGCGCTGAATGTTGCCAGTCGTTCTGTCTTTTTGCTCTCATCTATGTCTATGAGCTCTGCTATGACGAAAATAATGAATAAATGGATAAACTGTAAGGGGCTGAAATGAGTTTCCTTCCCGGACTATCTGGGCTCAAGGGAGAGGGCAAGATCCACGGATAGAAAGGAGAGGCTTGGAATATAATGGCTGCTCTTTCTATGGAGGCATTCCAGGCACATCCAACTTGCAGGGGACCCAGAGCAGTCCCCCAACACATTGTAGGGAATACATATCTAAACTGGCTGTGCAAAACCCTGGGAGGATGTGACTTGGGAGGACATTTTGGCTAGCTTGGTTGAGCTGCTACCAGAATATCTTGGTTGCTAATTTGCCAACCCACGGCAAAAACAGTCTTCTACAAGAAAGATGTGCAGTTATCTGAAAATAATGCACACCCTGCAGCCAATCAAAATGAAGTATTCTGTATGAAAGTGGACCATTGCTGATGTTATCATGCTTAAGATAGACCAATGAAACAGTTGTACCTATATCTGTTTGACTAGAGGAGTATCTTATTGGGGACACATGATCATAAACAAAATATGGTAAGATTTGGAGCAGAAAACTTACCGTATTCTTTTTTGGAGCTGCTTTCAACCAACCCCTGTGTGATGGATATTGAGCAGTGATTTTCATTGACTCAACCTAGTCGGTAATCATTTCATTCATTCTATATAACTTGACAGGGTGACAGTATCCTTAAAGTGTCAGCAACGTACTGCCTGTATTTCAGGGTCTTTTTCTATTTAATATCAACTGCGAGCAGCCCACCAGATTCAGTCGGACCGACAAGAAAAGTATATAAGACGGGGCAGATGTAGGTGGAACTGGCAGGATAAAAACGTCAACACCAGCCCCCACCTTAAGGCTGGCAGGATAATCTTTATCAGGAGATGACGGACGAGCCTTCCCTACAGATCCGCTTTGACATTTATCTAATTACCAACATCTTTCAATGAAAAAACCTAATTTGTAAAATGGTGATAGGAGCAGTCACTAACTCCACTGGATAAAAAAGAACTGCCAAGCAGTCTGACAACAGCGAGCCCTGATCTGTATCAACGGGTGTTGACTGACATGTGAATGCCATGTCAGACCATTATCTTGCTGCCAAGTTAAAGTGAAGCCTGCTTAAAAAATGAAGATGCTCCATAATTTGTCTACATTAGATGTGTTCTTTTCTTTTTAAATGCATGGCTAGAAAATACATTGTGTGTCCTTCATTTACTTTGTTACACTAGCTGTATTACCATTATTAGACATCAATATGTGTTTTTCTCCTGTGGAGCAATTAACAGTTTTTAAGGACAACTTCTCCAGTGATAAAGTAATGTATTTATAATTATTTATATTACAGAACATGTGTGGGACCCAGGTGGCGGGGAGGCGTGTGGTGCAGTGGGTTGAGCGTTGGTGTTGGGATCAGGGGGTCACAGTTTCAAACCCCACTGCAGTCAGCATGTCGTTGTGCAATTTGGGCTGAAGTGGCCAGGGGGGCAAAACACTTCACCCCAAATTGCTCCTGTGGGGATTGCCCACAGTATTGAGTATGTAATTCGCTTTGGATAAAACTGTCTAACAAGCGACATGTAATAATGTAATGTAATGTAAAGGTTTCCGGCACAAAAAATAAAGCTAATATAAGATAAGGCCATTTACATAAAAGCATGATTTTTGTATAACATAAAACGTATATAAATGTGACATTTGAAGTCTATGTACAAAGAGCAATAACATCAGATTTAAACAGGAAACCACTGTGTAAAGCAGTCAACATCTAAATCGTAATATTAGTTAAGTAGTGGATTCTGGATTTTTAAAATGTCCTTAACTTAATGTTAAATGTCATTACATTTGTACTTGTTGATTTCCATGTCATAAAAAATGTCTGAAGGGAATTTTTCAATTAAATACATATTTCTTTGCTACCACTAGAATCATTATGAAGATTATATGTATCTTGCAATAATTACTTTTTGTTTAACTCTTAGTTTTAAATCATACTTCGTTATTAAATTGTATAAACATATAGACTCATCTTAGCATGGTTATGGTTTTAAAAACATTATGCTGCATGACTTACTTTGGACATTTACTTTGACAGTTTAATTATTGCATGCGTACATTAAATTAATCTGAATTAAATATTTTAGAGCATCCCTAAACAGTAAGCAACAGTGGATTATTTGTCAACTATGTATTCTTTTTTTGTTCATTGCTGTTTTGATATTAGCTGTGTATGTATTAATGTAGGCCTATATGCATAATTGACAATAGTTGTTAAGGTGTTAAATAAAATAAAGAAAAGATAGAAACATATTTCAGCATCTTTTTTAAAGGTCCCATGTCATGGCCATTTCTACTGATCATATTTCCATTGTTGACGTCTACTAGAATAGATTTAAATTGTGCAATTTTCCAAAATCAAATTGGTTTCTCATACAGCATCTCTGTATAGTATGTGTATTCACCAGTTATTCACTCTCTGTCCTCAACGGCCTGTTGGAGCTCCTGCCCCCTCCCTGTGAGCCCAG